TATATATATATATATATATATATATATATATATATCCCAATGCCTATAGGTGATAGGAAACAGTGTTTTCGCCTCCTTGTATCCACCGTCTGTTGAAATTAAATGAAACGTAGTGCCCTAATTCGTTTTAAAATCTCTCACGCATGAAAGCCCTAAATGACTGAAATGCTTCAAACCCCAACAAATTTCAGACATACCCCCTTCTCCTGCGTGCTCTGCAAACCAGAGCTTCACTGAGAAACTCTCTCTCTCTCAATAGCCATCGTCTCTCCAGGCAACTACATATGCGCATGAAAGCTCTGATTGGCTGAAAAGCTTCAAACCCAAACAAATTTCATCCATACCCCCTTCTCTTGCGTGCTCTGCGAACTAGAGAGCTTCACTGAGAAGCTCCGTCTCTCTCGCTCGCCATCGTCTCTTTGGGCAACTATAGATGTTCTGCTTCCTCTCTCTCTAAATTTCAGCCGCTCTCCCTCCTCATTCGCTCTAGTCAGCTCGCTGTGGCTGCTAGCATCTCAAAGAGGCAGCACGCGAAGAAAAACCCAACCCATGATGACTCAGGATTAGGGCACCGAAATCGGAGAGTAACAAACAATTTATTCAATTTATAATATGTAAATCGCTAGGAAAGTCCTAACTTTGATTTGGGAATTTAGATTTCTGAGTAAAGCCATAAAAATTCTTGCCGAAATTTCGTTCATTTTTTCCTCAGCATATATGGATTTTTTTATTTTATAAATCAATAAATAAATTTGTAAATAAAAAACTATGACAAACTAACATACCAAAATGGACAAAGATTAAATCACCGTAAAAATCATAACTTTGAGTTCCAGATTTTATTTTCTAAGTAAAACAAAAAAAATCCCTGCTGAAATTTGAGTTCATATATGGTTTTAAATTTGTAAATAAAAAATTCCGACAAAATCACATACCAAAATGGACAACTATGATAATACCAAAAAAAAAGATTACTTATTTTCTATTTTTTATTTCCCCGAATATTTGAAATTCTATGTTTTTTGAAATTTGGAAGCATTAACTTATTGCTATTTGTTAGTTGCATCAAGATGTTGAGAATCATATTTGCTTGCACTGTTTGTAGCTAGTTCTCTTTGTTTTGTATGTTCTATTTAAATGGAACTTTGAACCTTGAGTCTGGATATGATATGAAAAAGTGAAGTGGTTGTACTATGTCATCTTTTGAAGGTTATAGTCGCTTATCATTAATATGGTTGTCCCAAATTTTTTGGATTTTGAGAATAAACAATGGTTTTCGTTTATTTGCCAGTCTCTACTTTCCAACCGATTATCAATATATTGGGATTCGAGTTAAGTTGCCTTGGTTTTTATTTTCTGAAAGCTTATCAATCGTCATTTATAGATGTATGTTATTTAAATGACTATTGTTCCTCTTCAAACGGAATTCGGTTTTCTTTTTCTTTTAGATTTTTACTTTTTTTTTTTATTTTAAGGGTATGAAATTTTTCATTTTCAAACTTTTTGTTGAAAATCTTTGCAATGTTGTCTTTTTGCCTTTGAACTTGTAATTATGATTTCAATGTACATTAGAAGGCAATTTTTTGTGGGTATTCCTGATATCATTTTTTTTTTTGAAGTATGATATTCTTCTGTCGTATTTATATATTCTCCTACTTGCTTCTCATTGTTGACCATATAAACCGAATAGGTATACTATGCGTGTGTCGTGGACTCCTCAACATTAGCATGTCCTTCCTCTCCTGTCGACATTATTAGTTCAAAAAATGGGCATGAGTGTAGCGCTCAAGCTATGGTAGATGAAGCTTATCATGATTCTCTGTTTGATGAGGATATAGTTGCAATAGATGGAGAAGGCGATCCTATATTTATAGATGCAGAGGCAGCCCTAGCAAGAGGTGTAATTATTGAACCCACAGTAGGAATAACATTTATTGACGAAGATGAAGCTTATGATTATTATAATAAGTACACAAAATTGGTAGGGTTTGCTATAAGAAAGGGAAGAACCATTTGGAAACATGGTAGAAAAATTGGTCAGATTATAGAATGTTGTAGGCAAGGTTTTCGTAATCAGATATATGGTAGGAGTGAAAATGCTCGGCCCTACACAAAATGTGGATGTCAGGCAAGTATCCGCATTAAGAAGAATGAGAAGTAGAGATGGGTTATTGTGAAGTTTGTAAAAGAATATAATTATATTCTCACAATGCCCAACAAGACTAGATTCATTTGCTCTCATCGAAAGATACCAAAAACAGTGAAAAAGGTGATTGACACATTGGAGTCTTTTATGGTTAAGTCTAGGGTTACGATGGATTACCTTATCGAAGAGTCTGGTGGGGCAAAAAATGTCCCTTTCATTGAGAAATACCTTAAGAATCATATAACTAGAAAAAGAAAACAACTAAAAAGGAAAGAGAGTATCATTGTTATGAGTTGGTTGCATGCGAAGAAGGAATTTGACCCTTCATTCTTTTATAGATTTCGACTTGATGAGGTGGGGATGCTGATTAGTGTTACATGGGTTGGTTCAAAGTTTATATTATCATACCAATTTTTTAGCGACATGGTAACCTTTGACAGCACGTACCAAACTAATGAATTCAGTATGTCCTTTGGCCCAATCCTTGAAGTTAATTATCACGCTAACACAATTTTCCTCGGATGTGCTTTCATCTTCAATGAGACTATAGAAACTTTCATTTGGTCATTTGAGAGTTGGCTAGAGGCAATGAGAGGGTGCCGACTAGGTACAATTATCACCGATCAGGCTTTAGCTATAACGGCTGCAGTTACAACAATTTTCCTGAATACTAATCATCACTATTGCAAGTGGCATATCATGGGAAAGTTTAAAACACATCTAAGCTATGTTGAGCGTGCGTACCTATTATTCTTTGAGTATTCAAGAAGTGTATTGCAACCCACACAGTTGAGCAGTATGAGGCTGATTAGTTAGCTATGATTAAAAAATATGATCTTCAAGAGAAAAGTTGGCTCAAGTGGTTGTATGGTTGTCGCACTCAATGGGTTGATGCATACATAGCTGATAGGTTTACGGCCGGCATGAAAACCACACAACGAAGTGAAAGGTTCAATCGTCATTTAAAGTTGTATGTCACTTCTGGAACATGTTTGACAAAATTCATGAATGCTATTGAAAAGTTGCAAAACAAGAAGTTCATCAAAGAAAAAGAGAAAGACAGTAAAGATATTACATCCACACCTGTTTTAAAGACTGTCTTTCTTATCGATGAGTATGCAGCAAAGATATACACTCATAAAGTTTTGGAAAGTTCCAAGAAGATGTGGTAAAGTCCTCAAATTGCCTTAGCAAATTAATAGAAGGCAATGATGAATTTGCCAAATATAAGGTAGAAGACATTCGTGGTATGCCTATCCCTCAGACAGTCACATTCATTAAATCAGGGATGAAGTGTATATGCACATGTCAGTTCTTTGAGCGTGTTGGAATCCCTTGTTCACATATGCTAAAAGTATTCAACATGAGAAATGTATTGAAGATTCCAACTACATTTTGAGCCGGTGGACAATGGAGGCGAAGAAGGGGGTCAAAGACAAATGTGGTGGTCTTTCGATTTCAACTAAATTTTTGAGATTTATTCGACATCATGAGCTTTATGACATTGTGAGAACAATTGTAGAACCAGCATTAGAAAGTGATGTTCTATTTGAAAAAGTGAAGTTGGGTTTATGCAAATTAGTTGAAGATGTCAATGCAACAAGAGAGTATTTGTCGAATATTCTTGCACCCTCATCCTCCACTCATTGCAGTGTCGCTAAAGATGAAGTATATAGCTGCAATAGATCAGTTGATGCCTCCCCCTTGTACTTGATCTACCATGTGCACGAGCAGTTGGACGACCAAGGGCTAAAAGGAGAAAACTTTCATGGGAGAAAGGACAAAATGCTTCTATGCAAAAAACACAGTCAGAGGAAAGACCACTTACTGGAAGGAAGTGTAACGTTTGCAATTAGAGTGGGCATGACATGTGTAATTGTCCAGTGAGGGCGAGTGGGATGTAAGTGCCAGTCTGCTTTATGTTTTCGACATAATAAGAATATTTGTCTTTATTTAGTTTTAGCTTTTACTTATCTTCTGCTTTATGTATTAGACTAACAATACTTCTTTCTCTTTCAGAGCCATTGAGGACCTCGAATCAAATTGAGGCCATGGAAACGAAAGGGTTGCACTTGCATGGAGGATATGACAAATTGCGGGATTGCATTCGCATGGAGGATATGACAACTTGCAGGGCACATATGCATAAATGATTTTTTGTATTGACTAATTTTTGAAATTGTGGAGATATGTAAATACCCCTTTTTGTAATTAACTTTCGAGCTTATGTGAATATTGAATAGTCCTATAATTTTGGGGCCATGTAAAGGACCTATTTATGGGCCATGTAAATGACCTACTTATAGGAGCATGTAAAGAATCTAATTCTAGGGTCATGTAAATGACCTATTTTTGGGATCATGTTAAGGACCGATTTATGGATAGTGGAATCCATTTATAATGAAATGTGAACTTACTTGGATGTGACCTATTTATGGGACATGTAAAGTGTTATTTTTGTAAAGGGCTTATTCTTTCATGTATAACATTTATATATGCAATGTGGGTTTACATGGATAGTGAAATGTATTTATATCCAGATAATTCCCACTTCATTTGGTACATTGAGTGTTTGATACATTCATAAAAAATTTATTGCACTGATGACTTAGGGTTAGTACCAGTATGTTTCTAATTTTCATAGATCTCGGATTTGAATGATCTCTCTGTTTATCTCGTCTCAACCAAATAAATGAGCTTGTGTTATTTCATTGTAGTTTGATAACCATATCTGTGTGTGTGTGTATGTGTTTATTTATGTGTCTCAAAAAAAAGAAGAAAAAGACAAATTGGATATACCATAAATCAGAGAATTTCATTCACAAAAGATTATCATTAATTAAACAATGACCAATTACAATTATTTACAAGCCACTGGAAAGATACAAGGAGGTTAAACACCTCATGAAATAGGAAAAAACTACATACAAATGAATCTTCAAAAAAGATAACCCAATTGAGTTAACTCAACCATTTCTTTGTGCTTCTTCAAGTTTCACTCTTCCATTCGAATGATGCAGCGAAGGTCATCCCTTTGAGCATGTATTCAAAAGTCTTATTGATCTCCAAGAATGGGACTGAATGTATGATGAACTTCTCCATGTGATGTGTACTATCTTCATATATTTGTCGACAACAGATGGAAAGAATGGAAGTGAGCATCAGGAATGTGATAGAGAGTTTGAAGAAGAGAAGTCATGTAACAAGTTGCTCCTTGGTTTTTAAGCCCAACATAACCAGTTTCTTTTTTAGAGTTGCATAACCAGTAGTCAGCAACTTTACCCACCGCATCTTCTGCTTCCACTACTGTTGTATCATTAACAAGATACCTTTTGTTCGGGTCATATAGTGCACCGCCAGGCATAAATGAGGTGAAGCCCCAATCACTTTCTCAGGCATTAAATTAGTGTTCTGTATCTGCATAAAAGAATAATTTAGATGCTTCGGAAACTATAAATTCGAATTATCATGTGACAAGTGCAATCGGATGCATAATGGAATATATGAATCTATGAAGTTCATAGAGGAAGTATACAAAGGTGAAGGACCACTAGATGCACATTTATATATCATAACAGACAAGGTAAATAAAATTAGTGAGGTCCATTCACCATCAGCATAGTTAAAAAATAATAAAAAGTAGAGTCAAAACAAAAAATGGTGCATGTACAAGAATGATACATTTTGAAAGGCTACATTCCCCATAGAGTGAAGAAATACCACCAAAGGTCACTAAGACTCAAAGATGTGTCCCTTGATTAATATTCTTCTAGCACATGCAATTTTGAATTTTTCATTCATAACAAAGTGATGACAAAGTATGGCTACAAATCAGATGAATGAGAAAACCTAGTAAGTATTAATGATTCTTGATCTGCACCACCGTTTACCCATTTCATAAAAAAAATAAAAAATAAGGAGAAATCTCCACTCTTTTACACCCAGCAATGACGTTAGGAGAATCTCATAGGCATCGGCACAACGGGCACAATCTGTTGTAGGCTACCAGCCACTTAAGATACAGCTGCTATGGAATTTGTGATTACATGGGATCACCTATGTCTTTGTATTAGCAACAAATCCACAATGACACAATGCAATTTTCTTGCTCTCCATCCTCTCTCTCGATCTTGTTTAGGTGCTTGATTGTTTGGATAATGTAATCGAGATGGCATTGATATTCTTGAACATCTTGAACACTACTTTCATCGATGTACTTGTTTGAAAACTCTTGTTGAACCCTCACCACCAGGTACACCTTACTTACGTTTATACGGTGAAGAAGATCTCGCGTAATGCCCTCTAATTCCTCCTAATAAGAGTCCGAAAAAACGAGATTATGTCTTCGAGGAAGCACGAGGACTTATGTATGTTCCTAAATCTGTTGGACATGATGCGACCCAAGTCATCTATGGTTTGTAGGTCATCAAAAGATGTGTATTGCGCATTCGTTTAACCATAGCGGTTCTTCTCCCACCCTCGTGCGTCCGATCGAATCGGGCCGTACTTTGACATATGCTTCCTCTTTGAACTATATGTTAATCGAAATATTTGAATTTTCCATCGTATGGCCTTAGGGAAAGAAGCTGAGTCATTTCTCACGGAAATATTCAGACTAGATTTCGCTAAAATTATTGATAGCCATGCCTTGCAACCAATGGTTTAAAAAACGGATCGGTGACCCGGATCAGGCACCCAAAAAACCGATTCGGATTGGCGAATCGGCGATCAGGATCAGGAATCGGGTGAATCGGTCAGAATAAAGCTTCAAAAAAATCCGAAAAAATTATTAAAATTCATTAT